TACGACAACATTTTTAAAGAGTCCGAGCAACTTAGGTATTACCTATTATCTCACAAAACTACTAATGTGATGTAATGAAAGGAACCTTGGATGATATACATTCCCTTTAGCTTGAGTCCAGAGGCCACAAATTGGCGAGTTGGGCTGAATTTAGACAAATTAAAAGAGGTTGAAGTTATTTGAGCTAAAAAGCAGGTCAAAATCCATATATCAAATAAAAAAAGAATCTTTTGAAACTGTTTTGTTTCCCAACAAGTGTTGGGTTCTTGTATCGAGACTCCGATCCTAATGAATTCAGATTCACATCATGAAGGCCCATTAAAAGAGAAGTGCGGTTTTTCCATTCTTAGGACCCAAGAGTGTAAAATAAAATTCCTTCAATTTGCAACATGAGATTCAAGAATTTGTTGGAAGAAACCTTGAATGTTAACTTACCATAATTAATTACATAACATGGAAAAGAAGAAGAAAAATTAGACGCGGCCAGAAAATTACCATATTCTGAAAACTACTACTAAATATATTTTACCATAAAGTATCTATAATATTCATGCCTTGTAAATAAGTTTTGAAATCAACAAGTTAAAAACTATAAAACCTTGCCTCTTTGCCTTCAAAACTCTTGTCTAGTTCCAAATCCATGTCAAACATAGTTCGTCCTTGTGTAATATTCGCGATTGTTTTAGCCATTATTCTAGTAGTACTATTTTTGTTCATAAAGTTCATATGTGCGCGTTTTCAAGAAAGAGCAGTGACTCCGCCAGGAACAAACAGTGAGTGTTGTATCTGTTTAGGAGAATTCGAAAAACAAGACAATGGTGATGCTGATGATGATACGATAACTCTTCCTACTTGCTATCATAGGTTTCACGCGACTTGTATTATGTCATGGTTGTTACTAGCAAAGAAAAACACATGCCCCTTCTGTCGTACTTGTATTAGTACTACTTTCATCATATGCATATACTGGTACTTTCGACATTTAATCAAGCCATCGTCACAGCTTACAGTTACTTAAATTTTATTGTATCGTATCATTAAGTTACTTTATTATACTTCACTACTTAAGAGTTACTGTTTTCAATCATGTCCATAAATTCAAGAGTACAAGAACTAAGGCACTATCTAAACCTAATAAGGCTGCATAGGAATAAAGTTGAAATCTTTATTGAAGCACTTACCTCTATTTACTAATCTTGCATAATCGCGGTGAATCCAGAACCATCGAAAGAGAAGTTATACTGCATATTGAAGCTCAAGTAGTTGAACACCTTCACCCATCAACACGAAAGAGATGTGCATTAACAGATGTTATAGAATTCACCATCAAAGAAAAGCCAATCCTAAAACAACGCAAGCTTTAAATTTGCTTCGATATAACTCTTCTTGCAGGACGTTAATAGCCAACCAATCACAACCCATCTTGATAAGATATCTGATTTTACCAGATGGACGAACAGAACAACATATAAACCTAACAATGTCAGTCAAAACTATTTCTCTTTCAGGTACTCTAAGAAACTTCTTCGCGAACCAGACTTGGAGCCTCATTTGGCTACCGAACTTCACACGTGTAAGCAAAAACCTCAATTGGGTTTCCATTTCAGTAGCTATTCAGAGCAAAGTATACCAACTTGGAGTCTTAGTTTCGTAAACTATGCAAAATATCTTCAAATCCATCCACCCTAAACTGTTTCGGATTCAATAACAAGTCTCTCCAGATTGCTTTAAACTCAGGTACACATGAACCAAATCTTGCAAAAGCATGATTAAGTTCCTCCCTATCTTCAAACACAACGAAAATCTCTCCCTCAAAATTCAACCTCCATTCTTTTCAATGCGTATATCATAGGATTACTTGGTACTCTATAATGATCAGCTAATAAACGAAGAAACATGTATAAAGTTATAGTCAAAACCAATGGTTCTTCCTCTAATAAGCAATCCCAATATGCTCTCCAAACACAAGCATAAATTTCCCTCACAAAAATCCCCATTTAAACTTTCCCTTAAAAGCACGACGAGCAATTCATCAAATCCTATAGTCAATACATTCACCATCTCTTTAGTAACCCAAATCAGATAAATTTTCACTGAGTAAAGCAATTCTGCATACAATTCATCAACAACCTTAAACAAGCATACACGTAAAATAACTACAACCATCAGTGATAGATGTTTAATATGAACTTTTGTCAAATGGGGTTTGGTTAGAATCCCAGAAATTATAGCTCTATTCAAGTTCGAGTATTCTTCCTCTTGTGTGTATGCAGACCTTACCCCTACCTTGTGATGGTAGGGAGGCTGTTTACAATAGAAGTTCGGTTCAAGGAAACCTGCACATATATCATCATGGTTTACTAGTAATCCTTGTAGTAATTAATTCACTTGCTTTCTACTTAGTAGAGAATGTACAACCTCCCGTTTCGTGGTTTCTCATTTTTCAGAACTAATGAACTAGGTATGCTATTGAGTTATCCAAATGTGAACTGAAAGCAACAAGACATAGAGAGATAAATGATCCTTGGCAACACTGGAAAACAAGTAAAGGTCACTAGAAAGCAAAACAAGTTCGAAATGAAAACAATACTTCAATGATATTATTGCTTTTAGCAGGACAAAAACGAATTTCGGACAACAATTTAAAATTTCGAAAGATCTCAGCACCTATAGTACCAAAAGTAAACTAAAACTGTTAAGGAGCCAGAGTTTTCTGGAGTGGTTCATACAGATCAGGTACCTGATCCTTGTAGGGCAGCACGAAAGTTTCTATGAACTTTTTCTCTTTTAAGCTCACAACAGTATAAAGAGCCACCTTTCTCCTCTCAAGCTTCTTTTCGTCCAAAATTTTCAAGACTTGCATCCGAGGTACGACCCTTTTTTCCATACTATATATCAAAATTGAAGGATGAGAAGCTAAGTAAGCAGATTCAAAACCAAGCTCCTTCATAAAAAGACTCAATCCTTTCTGAATTTTAACCTCTGACAGAGCAATACAATAAGGTAACTTCCTAAACATCGTAAGTATATCATCATCCGACCATCCAAAACTCTTAAAAATCTCAAGCTTTTTTTCACACCTCGCCTTCTTTTGCGAGGCTAATGTATGAAATCCATAAGGAAACATAGACGAATCAGGCGAAAGTCGAAAATCCTTCTCTACCCTATGCAACAAATCCTTAACCCATTCAGGCTTCTGTGTAATATACCTCGGATTTCTAAGCACAAGTTTTTGTATTGAATCATCAGAAACACCATAATTTTTCAACAATAACAAATTATTTTCCATTACATTACGACCACCAAATGAAAGCAACCAAGATGTTCTTTTTATAGCTTTAACAACATTTTCATCACTACCCAATGTTCTTCTAAGACAATTAATTGTAGGTTTCAAATGAGTAACTAAACCCCTTTCAACAATGGTTGAATCTTTAGCAATTACATTCACAAGATCCGAACCCGATAACCCGATATCCATCAAGCATTGAAATTTGGGTTTTAGGGTTTTGGAAACATCGTAAAATAGAAACTTGGGTGATGTTGAAACCAGTTTTTTCATCTGGGTGTTGTCGAAACCAGTTTGTTTCAAGAAATTGAGTACTAAATCTGGATTTTTCTTTAAAGATTTCCATGAATTTACCTTGGTAGATGCTAATGACGCTTCTTCTTTGGAGAATCCGAGTGAATTAATGAGGTATTTCACGAAAAAATTGGTCCGGGCTGAGGTTGAGTAGAGATATTGAGAACTGAAACAGTGAAATCTTGATAGAGCTTCAGATTTGCCTCTGAATCTGACGAGCATTTCGTTTAGCTGTTTCTATCAACTTTGCAAAGAAGAGAAGAAAAATGTTTGGTTCACTGTGTAAGGGTCAACTATAGTCTAATTATTTTTATGGAAAAAAATTAAGTCTATTATTTGAAATAATTATACATTGGTCAAAATTGTGAGTTTTTTATTCGAACTATCACTAAATATATCTGAATGCTGGTGATTTTTTGATAAGAAAATGAACATTGATAGTTGAAATGTGTTTGGTAATAATTTAGATAAACATGAAATGAATGCGGTAAACCATCAATCTTTTCAGCTTTTCTACCGGCGATCTTTATCGGTGCATAAACGAGGCTTAGCCTTCGAAGTACCGCATAAGCAAGAAAGTCAATAGACCTTGAATAGCCTGTAAGAAAGACTTATGAAGAGGATTTTACTATAGTATCAAATCTATTTCTGCACCTTCTAATCGACCTGAATAACATATACGGATCCCCTCCATACGTTTGACAAACTCTATTTGAGCTCAAATTCTATAAATTCATTAGTGACAATCATCATTTTCGGAAGGCGACCACCGCCTTTTCGGAATTTATGTTTCACGAAATAGAAAATCGATATTATCTTAATTTTGAAAAGTGTATTAATTCATGTTTTTTTTCAAAATATGTGTAACCAAATTTGTTTGAGCACAAATTTCTTAGGTCCATTGGAGACAACCCCTTAAATGATACTACTCATTGTTTTCAAGAAATGTACAATGCTTTTGTGGAGCTTGTGTCACTAACAAAAATCAAGGATAATATTGTTATCAATTTTTCGTAAATATTAAAATATGTGTGATCGACTCTATTTGAACTCGAATGTTATCAATACATTGATGGCAACCTTTTAAACGCTAGTTGTATCCGAAAGAGGAACGTTGCTGTTTTTGGAGTTCTGTATGAATTGCGCGGTTGAAGCTACAAAATGGGTTTTGGTACAATATTTTGATTAGATGCAAGACATTGTATACATTAACCATGAACCTAAATGACACATAAAACTAACATATGTACCTTGTTATCCTATCACAGTGTATACAATAGTCATCAACTGTCCAAATTGACAAATCAAACAAGCATACATACCTACTTATCATATTACAAACGTAAAACTCAACAAACTACCTAGGAAGACGAAACAATCTCGAGACTGACTAGCTAAGCAGTAGCACCGCGCACCATCAGACAAGAAAATCTTCATCTCACAAGCTTGCTTGGTTACGTTTCTATCGTCCTCTGCCTGAAAAAGTAGTGGGAATCATACACACATATATATAGGAGAAGAAGTGATATATGTCTGCGTTAACATTATGCGCGTAAATTGTAAGTAACTAAATGGATGCATTGTCTTTTAAGACATGCCAAGCGCAACTCTCAAAAGTAGAATTGCAGATTACACAACAAAACTTGCTATGCATGAAAGTTGAATGAGAGAAATTACAGACCTGAGGGCGTAAGTCGCAAATAAAAGTCAGCAGTTTTGATAGATCATGTGCTTCACAGTCTCTCTACGCACCCGAGTACGGGTGACCATTGGGTTCTTATTATGAGGAAAACCATCCATGTTGTGATCTTTGCTAACCACAGTAACTGTTTTCCTACCAGCTGCATCCGCTTTTCCAGTCGCCCCTTTTAGCACATCAGCAGATCTCTTTTTGTCCACCTCTTCTTGTATAGGAACTGGTCCTAGAGTACAGGGAAAAAGAAAAAAGAATAGCCTTGAATTGAGATCGAAGAGCTGCAATTCTATTTAAGCGGACAAAATAATCCCACACAAACAAACACAAAACACAAAAATACAAATAGTGTGTGTGCTGCTCGCAGCAAGCATTGCATTTCATACCAATCATCTCAACTTGCAACTTATCAAAACATATACTTATAAACCTAATCAAATATATATCTATATTTTAAAATGACAGATACTTTTTATCTTTCAAGAATCTTGAATCCTATTTTTTTTTTCCGGTTACCTCATTAGGATTTTACTAAGGTAAAGCGTAGACACCCCCCCCCCCCCCGCTTGTACTCTTCTCTTTGAGATTCGCTTTAGTTATTAATAAAAACTAGCCTAGATAACCTACCTAGCAGATTCGGGGAAAAAAACATCATCTTGAATCCTCTGTATCTCCAATCTTAACAACATTGGTCTTTCGCCATTTTATTCTCAACTCTTCTCACCTCCTAGGCAAGACAAGCTACCTTTAGGTATGAGCCTCTTTTGCCTTCTACCCAGCTCCCCGAAAACAACATTCGACTCGCATATGTTAATCATATAACTCGTGTTCCTTCTAAGCCAAAATTCCATTTCAAGTACGACACAAGTCCATTATGCACTTGAAGTGAGCCTTAAGTTTGCCTGATCATCCATAGTATTGACCTCACAAGTAAGGACTTTCTTATTGTATCGATCTTTCATACTAGCTCGACACACGAACATGCCATTCATAAAAGTCTTACCTATAGAGTAAGTAGCTAAAGCAAGCAATTGTAGGTACGCTAAGTTTATATATTATCTTTATATACGATACGCAGATATCGGAAACATATTACTAGCTTATATGTTGTAGGACGGTTACTGAAAGTGGCCGGGAATGAGTACCTATCCCTTACGGATATCGAACCGTATCAAATCACACTCTTCCCCTTCCCCTTGTTAACACCCCCCAAATGCAATACAATAGATCATAGATATATAAATTAAAGCTTAAATTATACCTTTAGATACATGAACCAAATCCCAGGGTTGAGAAATAACCAAAGGAGCATACATATAGTTATCAGCCATCAAATAATCCCCAATTTTACTAAACAATTTCTCATCATTTCCTTCCAAGGGTTTACTAACTTCTTCAATTCCTGAAAATCGAAACAAAATCCATTAAATCAAATCAATTAATCAAACAAAGTTCAGGAACAGAATAACTTACCGGAGGAGAAACTGGAAGAACATAAAGGCGCGAACATGAAAGTATCAGATTTGAGATAATCGATAACTTTGTTGAAAAATTGCTTCTGTTTGGTACTACTGTGTTTCTTCATTGGTTTCTTCTTCAAGTGTACTGCTGAGAGAAACGTCGATTCCTTACCCATTTTTTGCAAAAATTGAAAGAGATTTGCCGGAATAAGGGTATACAAGGAGGAGTAATATCGCCGGTGGAAGTTGGGCGGTTATGAAGGTGAATACAACACTTGGCAAACAATAGAGAAGCCATCTGGCAAAGGAAAACTAAACTTTAATAATAGCATGTGGCTATTAACGAAAAGGCGAAAGAAGTATTGAAAGCGTTACCCCTAAACTTGGGGAGTATTTAAGATGTATTTCACTCATATTATAAGAACAAAGTACAGTTTAGTTTTAGTTAGTCAAATAATGAGGTGTTTATCGTATTTTTAAAGTTGACAATAGTTTAAGGATGAAATTAATAATTCGCGTTGAGTTTAGGGATCAGTTTTCAATACTTCTTATTATTTTATTTTAATTTAATTTTTTGATTGTGTTCAATATCCTTATTGAGCCCTAACTAATTCAAATTTGTAGTAATTGATAGGGCTCATACAGGATAACGCTTCCTATCAAAAAAAAGAAAATCATATCAAAGGCTCCCATTCGAAACTTTTGATTCGGAGAGGGACAGTTCCTGCACCACTATCTTTTGGTGGTTATATTTTTTTGTTAAAGTTTGATGTAATTATCTAAATCGATCATTTGATTTTTATTGCTTTCTTTCAGATTTTAATATGTTTGGTTATGATTATTGTTTTTAAGTGTGTTTAGTCTCCTCAATTTTTGTAAGTATAGTTGAGAAAATGATCAAAATAGTCTTTAATGTATGAGTAATGTTTTATTTTGGTCCTTAATGTATTTGATTGAAATTGTAACACCCCAGAGAATTTTTCAAACTAAGACTCGAGCCATCCTTCATGTGGAGTGAGATTTTACCGAGGAATAAAAATTTCTTGAGTGTTAAGTTAAGGTCCCTAGGTGTAGCACATTGAGTTCCAAGAAGAGTTGAATTGGAAATAGTCATTTTGGAAAGAATCTGGAAATTTGGCCAAGTATGGAAAAAAAAAAGAGTTTTTGGTCAACTTTGAGCAGTCGTAACTCCTAGCTCAAAATTATTTAGGCGAATTTCCAGTCATGTCTGGAATGATCTTTCCAACGCCGCCGAGTTTGCTTGATTCCGAGTTCGTATGAGTGAGTTATGCCCTTTGGAAGTTGGGCTGTTGGCACAGTCACACAGGGCAGTTTGTTTAGTCCGAAAATTTTAAGGGTATTTTGGTCTTTTCCCTAATCTTTTCTTTGGGTTATATTGAGGTGTTAGACTGATGTTTGGATCATTTTTGTCCCATTTTAAAGAGTGAGAGTAAGAGTGAGAGTTAGGGCTTGGAAGATAAGAGAGAAAGAAGAGGAAAAGAAGAGGAGAAAGAGAAGAAGAAGCTAAGGATCGTCGTGGATTTTCGTCGGGGGTGATCCCTAATCAGGTATGTGAGTTCTTTAGTGTGGGTTGATCCTTTCCCCACACACCAAGCTCATTTTATGATTTGAGAAAAGATTGGATTTGTTGTTGAAGTTGTTAGTTGTTGATGTTGTTAGTTGTGTTGTGGAAGTTATTGTTGGTTGTGGGACATGATTTGGTTGTGTTCTTGAGTTGAAATCTATTGTATATTGAGGGATTTTATGATCCTTAGTGTTGGTTGGTTCATACCCCCACACACCAACTCGTTTTTAATTCCAAGAAAAGATGTATTTTGGTTGTTGAAGTTGTTGGTTGTGTTGTTGAAGTTCTTGCTGATTTGGGACAGGATTTGGTTGCGTTTTTTAGTGGAATCCACGGTATGTTGAGGGGTTTATGACCCCAAGTGTTTGGGAAAAGAACCTTTGAGGTTGAGAGGGTTTAGAGTTGGCAACATGAAGGAGAAAAGTTGGGCAGCTTGCCAAGTCTGCGTTGTAGCTGTGTTCCCTCTGTGAACAAAATCTGTTCTGTTTTCAGAATTAAATTTTGAAATTTTTCGTAAGTCTAGCTGTCCTAAATTATTCCTAACATCATGGGGTCCTTCCAAACACAAATCACTACCCTTGAATTCATAATTCCAATTCAAGGAGAGTAAAGTTAAAAGTCAAGTGAAGTTAGATTCCAAGTCAAGCGAAGTTAGTTTCCAAGTCAAGTGAAGTTAGTTTCAAAGTCAAGTGAAGTTAGTTTCCAAGTCAAGTGAAGTCAAGCTTAGAAGTAAGTAAGTCAAAACAAGTCTTTAAGGTTTTCCAAGAGTCTTCATTGATCGTTTTAACTTCATTTTAAGGCTCAAGTTAAGTAAAGAATGAAGAGTTCTAAGTTAAGAGTTTCAAGTTGAGTCAAGAGTTTCAAGTCAAGTCAAAAGTTAAGAGTTTCATGTTAAGTTAAGAGTTTCACATCAAGCCAAGAGTTCAAGTAAAGTAAAGAGTTTAGAGTTGAGTTCATTTCTCAAAGTTATTAGGGAACTATGTATTCCCAAAGAAGTTTTAAAGAAATGTTTTTACATTTAAACAAGGTTGGAAACTGAGATTTCCAAAAAAGCCTTCGAGCTAGTTTTTGAGTAATTATCTCATATCAACAGGAATAAATATGTTTTAAAAACATAAGAGCCAGTACATTTTTGGGAGTAGTATCGAGCACCGAATTGGGGGAGCGTTCAAAGAACCCACAGCCTCCATAGAACCATGTTAGCCACCATGGGTAGAAAAGGATCATACTTTTTGGATGAATCCTTTTCGGATTATACTAGTGGATCCATTAGGCAGTTCAGGTCTTATACCTTTGGCCGAGTATAAGATGCTCTGGCAGCGTGAGGTCGATCGTTGTATCATCACTATAGCTCTTATGTGATGGTTGTCGATTAGAGAAACTCCCACAGCAGTTATTGTATTTTTACACACAGAAATTATTGTATTTTATATACATCAGTTCAATTGTATTTCTATATACATCTCAGGCTTATTGTATCCTTGTATACACACAGAGTTTATAACATGTTTTAAACAGTCTTTCTTTATATCGCACTTGTTTTAAATTGCCTTATATTGAAAGAAGTCAGTCAGGTTGAGTTGAGTTGAGCTCAGTTATTCAAGAGTCGAGTATCCTTGAGTTAAGCATCTTTGAGTTGAGTATATATCTTTGAGTTGAGTATCTATCTTTGAGTTGAGTATATATCTTTGAGTTGAGTATCTGTCTCTGAGTCCAGTATCTATCTTCTGAGTTGAGTAAGTTTGAGTAGTTTTGAGTATTCCTTGAGTTGAGAAAGTTTGAACAGAGGTAAGTTATTCAGTTTATTCCAGCTTTTCTTCTAGCCTATGTTGTTTAGCTTTCCAGCTTACATACTCGTACATTCCACGTACTGAGTCATTTGGCCTGCATCTTCTTATGATGCAGACATAGGTATTCAGGATCATCAACAGGAGATTCGTTGATACATCCGGGAGTTCCAGTTAGCTATGACAAGCCTCCTTGCTTCCGGAGGATTTCATTTACCTTTCAGTTGTATCAGTTGTTAGGAGGTCGTGGGTCTTGTCCCGGCTTCCATCTTTATCAGTTAGAGGCTTCATAGATAGACAGTAGAGTTTCAGAAGTCTTTTCATTTATTTTGTTAAATGTTTTGAAGACTAAAGTTGCCTTTTATGGCGAGTTGTATATATATTCTATTATACAGAGTTTTCTTTTGAGTTAAAGATTTGTAAAGTTGAGTTTATAAACTCTTATTCAGTTTTAAGCTCTTGTATGCTTAAGTTAGTCTTCCGCTTGGAGTCAGCCAGGATGAGGGTTCGCTTGGGGACCAGCAATGGTCTTCGAGTGTCGGGCACGTCCAGGGTGTAGGCTCGGGGCGTGACAGAAATGGTCATTAGAGTCTGTTTGGATTGGTTTAAAAGTTGATTAAACATACTTTTAAATTTTGAAAGTGTTTGACAAAAGTAAATATAACTTAAAATAAGTTTAAAATGCCTTTTAAAAAAATTTTAAAAAAAAATAGGTCTTCCCTTCTTTTTCTTTTTTTTGACTTAAAGTCATTTAAGTTTGACTTATTATTCTTTGATTTTAAAGTTATTTTTTTTAAGTCAATCCAAACAAGCTCTTAATGTATAACAAATGTGTTCATTTTGATACTTACTATATTTCACTTAATTAACATGACTTTAATGTATGAAAAAAGGGTGTTTATTTTGATCATTTACCCTAAACCTAACCAATTTATTTAAAAATATATATATATATATATAGATAACAAATGAATAGATTATATATCTTCTATTATTTCATAATGTCATGTTCAAACAATTTGAAGAATAATCTAATAACGAAGGGTACCAAATAAAAGGTTAGAAGGTAAATATATGAAGGTAGGATATAAGGAAAGGAAAAAAAGTAAATGTGCAATTACACCAAATCAATTATTAACCCAAATTCACATTTTTCATCATTACATTAGGAATTTAACATATAACACAATAAAATTTGAATAACATAAAAACCAAACATTATATTATATATTTAAAATAAGATACAAAACAAGTTGTAACTAAAAAGATGATACAAAACCAAAATATAATAAGAGACAGAAAGGAAAAAAAAAAAAAAGAGACAGAGAACAGTAAAGAGAAGCAGCTTAATTTGGGCAATTTCTCAGCCCCTTTGCTGCTTGAATATTTTTCAATCTGATGGCAGCAAAGACATAAATCTTATTGCCCATGTTTTCCAGGAACCTCATATAGGCATATCTCCATGACTCTTTCAACGTTAAAGTAACCCAAAATAACCAGAAACCTGTATAGAATCCAATTCCCATACTAATGTAGAACGAAAATTCATCGAGCCAGTTGTTGTTTTCTTCATGTTCAATGGCCTGAACCTCCTGATTATTGTTACTACAGTGAACCATGTCCTCATGTAAATGATCCGAGCAGAATCGTGAGACTGGGAATCCACACAAGTTTGCATTCCCAACATAAGAACTATTCTCAAAGGTGTGGAATTGAGGTCCAACTGGAATTTTTCCTGTCAAATCATTGAAAGAAAAATTCACGAACTCAAGAGACGGAAGTTCTCCCATACGGGGAGGAAAGGAGCCTGACAGGTGATTGCTGGAAAGATCTAGAGACTCCAAAATTTTCAAGTTGTGAATGTCACATGGAATTACTCCTCTGAAATTGTTACTTGATAAATTCAAGACCCTCAGTTCAGTAAGCTGGCAAATCTCCCTGGGAATAATTCCATCATAGTTGTTTCTGCTTAATACAAGAATCTCAAGAGCATGTAAATTCTCCCCTAACCAAAATGGTATATTCCCAGATAAACTATTTTCAGAAACATCAAGAATTTTTAGTCCAGTTATGTTCTTCAATGATGAAGGAAGATTTTTGGAGAAACTGTTGTTCTGCAATTGCAAAAAGAAGAGGTTAGTAAGATCTCCGATGGAACGAGGTATCTCCCCTGATAGATCATTATGGCCTAAATTCAATCCTTGCAGATTCTTCCCATATCTCCAACAATCTGAAAGTTGTCCTGATAGAAAATTTGAAGATAGGTCTAGAAGACTCAGAGAGTTATTCATGACAAGTGATTCACATACAGGGGCAATGGTACCATTAAACGAATTCCTTGCCAAAATCAACGTCATCATCTTGGGTGAAAAATGAGGCAAAGGACCATGAAAATTGTTATCACTCAGGTTCAATTTTGTAAGACTGACACTTTCTGTAAATTCAGGGATTTCTCCACTGAAATTGTTTCCTGAAAGGTCTATGTGATAAACCTTGGCAGAAAAATTCCAGAACCAATCAGGCACTTCACCTGAGATATTGGTGCGAGAGATATCAATAAATGACAACTCTTTTTGTGTCTGAATCCACTGGGGAAACTGTGCACCAAGTCCGCAAGACTGCAGGCTTAGAGAGTCAAGTTGAAAACGAGGCATCCAAGTTGCGCTTACATTGAAAATAAATGAGTTGGATGACAAGTCTAACACTCTCAAATGAGTTAAATTCAAGAAATGTTCTGTAATCGAGTCATTGAAACAGTTCCGAGAAACATTAAGGACAACTAATTGCTTAAGTTGTGTAATGCTTCTTGCTAAAGGACCCTCCATTTTATTATCAGAAATATCCAAGTATTTCAGCTTTGATGGCAGGGTTGGTGGTAAATAGCCCGTGAACGAGTTTCTTGAGAGATTAAGAAAGGAAACTGAACTCATTTTCTCAAAGGAATGTGGAAGGTTGCCTCGGAGAGAGTTCCCAGAAAGATCAAGAACTCTAAGTGAACTCATGTTGCCAAAGGCATTTGGAAGTGAACCGCTCAGCCGACTTCTCGAAAGATTAAGGTGAACAAGATTATGGCTTGTGTTGAACAACCAGCTAGGAATCCTAGTATTAAAATAGTTTAATGAAAGGTCAAGAATCTGAAGGGATGTGAAATTCACAAAAATGGGAAGAAATTTAGGAAGTGTAACAAGCTGACAAGCAGACAAACGTAATTCCAAGAGAGAACTTAACAAATTGATGTCATGTAGCCAGTTTTCCGCGCTTTTCATGTCAACACCACTCAAATCAAGAATCTTCATAGAGAAGAGGGAGTGAATCCATTCAAGGTTATCAACCCGGAGTGAAAAATCACCACTCAGATCAAGAAACTGCAACCGCGACAGATTCCCAAGATGTTCAGGAATCATTCCCCTAAAATTTGTTTTAGACAAATTGAGATACTCCAGGTCCTTAAAACTGGAAATAAACTCAGGAATCCGTTCCCCGAGGAAATCAATGTGGCTCATGTCTAAGTGCCTTAAATAAGGCAAACCAAGTAAAGAATTCCTGAACTCACCTTGCAAGAATTGCTTATGTAGATCAAGAGTGATCACGTGCCCGGTTTTGTTGTCACATTCAACACCTTTCCAGCTGCAGCAGTTTTCTTCAAGCATCCAAGATAACATGCTTCGTGACGGATTCTTGAAACCTTGGCTGAACTTAATAAGAGCATTTTTTTCACTCTCAATGCAATGACTTCCTGAATAAACACAAGAAAATCCATCTAAATTAACAACAACAAGGAGAAGTGAAAGTACTAAAGCTACACCTTCCATGAGTTGTAATGAAATTCAGATCAATAATTAGAGACACAAATTTTTGATGAAGTAATTGAATTGCTCTTTGTTGACTTGAGGACTATACTCTATACGTGTTTCTCGGGTTACCAAGAAATTGCAATTTATTTCTTGTTAACACAATTTCTTCATGACATTTTTGTGCCACACACACCCGCCCCCCCCCCCCCAAAAAGAGGCGAAGCTACAATTAAGAGTTTGTTGTTCTAAATTTTTCTTTAGAACCATTGATCGATATTGTTAGGGTTCACAAATTAATATACATATATATTTAATTAATTTTCTAGTACAACTACAAGGTCTACGGAAAAGCTACTGGGTTTGTCCGAACCCATGAACCTCCACCTAGCTCCGCCTCTGAGTAAAGATGTACTCTCTCCGTTCCTTTTTAATTGTTACAAATTTCCTTTTTTAGAGGTTAAGCTATCTCAACTTTTTATCAACATTTTAAGATATAAGAAAAATTGCAATATAATATTTTCTATATAATTTTTGACAATATATATTTTAATTTTAAAATATCAAATTAATATTTGAAAGTTGGTCAAATTAATTCTAGATAAACCAACGGAGTATTTTGTAAAGGAGAATGTAATTCTGAGATATTACTAATAGAGGTGTGACGGGTATTTTGACCGAGTGATGAGACTACTTTTGGTGATAAATTTATTTAGTATTTACCAATAAAAAAAAGATGTCGATATATGATAATATGAAGTGAAAAAAGAAATAGAATGTTTTTTTTAAAAATAAAAAATAAAAAAATACAAACAATCGAATAAGACGAGAGAGAAAAAATCTCAAACCACTATACACGCACCACTTACAATTATTTATAGACAAAATGCAACATCAAACTAAGCAAAACTAACAGCCAAATTTGAATGGACCTCATGGAAAATAATGCGTCAATGGTTCCATCCAAACTAGCCTAGAAGACAAATTTAAATTTAAAAAAAATACAAAAGAAAAAATAGAATACCAAAAAGTACAAACAGTTTCAAGTAGTAATTTTTAAGTCAAAAATAAAAAAATCAAACTTAAAATATTTTTAAATAAAAAAAGTAAAAAAGTAAGAGGAGACCTACTTTTGGTTTATAGTTTATTTTAAGTTATTTTTATATTTGTCAAACACTTCCAAAAGTAAAAAATTGACTTAAAAGTAGATTTAATTAATTTTTAAGTCAATTCAAACGTTACTGTAAATCATCAAAATATAAACTCTCTTGAATTCAAAACTTCATAAAATTATTACAATAACACACTCTCTCTCTCATTTTCACAATAGAAATTCGTAAATTTTTTCCATAGTTTCGCAAAGAAAATGACTAAAATAGTCCTTAATGTATTAGTAATACTTTATTTTGGTTCCTAATGTTTTTCATTTGATTGAAATGGTCCTTAATATATAATAAATATGTTCATTTTAGTTTTTAATATATTTCACTTAATTTGAATTTATTAATGTATGATAAAGAGTGTTCATTTTGATAAAAATAAATACATTTAATGGTCTAACGTCTAAACTTTAAACTATTCAGATACAAATCTTTATTAAATGTAAACAAATGATGTTTAATTGCACTTTCTCTTCATCGAGTGTATTGTTTAGCATTATCTAAGCATTAACTTTTAAAAATTTATAATGACAAAACAATTATCATCGTAATTATTAGAAAATAAATGTAAATGATAAAAGACTCCAAATTCAAATGCCAAAAACGTAAAGTCCTCCTTGTAACTCACACACAGAGGAAAGCACTCAAAAATATACTATGATGAAAAAGCATAAACATTTCAATATATCTTTATTTTGTCTTAAAATTTTAAAGTTCACTTTAAGCCTAGAAATGTAAAGAAAAGACAATTCTCACAGAACTCATTAGCAAGAATTAAATTATAACCATTAGGATGATTGAATTGGTGCATAAGGTACATATATAAAGAAGGTCAAAAATCGATTTTCCTTGTTAGTCATTGCACAAAAGTAGATTTACCTAACGTGCACCCAAAGAGTAGCAGACTGCAAATTTCTACTTCACGTTTCTATTTTTAATTTTTGTAGATTATATTTGTATAATCAATTTTTTGTTCATTCAAGTCATTTGCATCGTCTACTTTTTTTTCTATATTCCCAACAATTTTAGGGAATAAGGAAAATTACACTTTAATTATGTTTAATGGGAAGTGCAATCAACCATTCATGAATTAGTCCTTATTTAATTAGTTCAACTAAAACAGTCACAGAATTTTAAGAGACTTATTATAATTATACCTATATATACACAACACCCTTTCTAATTCCTTTTATTATTCTACTAAACTTTTTTCATTTTATACTAATCTAAAATAAATTGTGAGAAAAATTAGAAACAAAAATGCCATCTGGTCCAAAAAAGAGGAGAGCTGCCAAGAGGAAGAATGAAGCAAAACAAAGTGATGGTAATTATTTTGTTCTTTTTAAGAATTCCATTCTCTTATTTTTCTAACATAAAATATTAAGTCACGTACACTAAAATATAATATTATACTTGAGAAAAAAACACTATATATAATATATTAATTTTGTATAAAATTGTATAATAGTTTATGAAAAGTGTTTATACCTAAAGATAAGGTAAATTGTGTAACAAACACAAAATATAAGCTATGTGATGTAAAAAAAATTCCTAGTAAACATAGTGTGTAATTTTCCCAATAATTTGTTCATAAATTGGTAAATCCTTGAATATGCGCTACAATTCTCCACTATTTTTTTAGTACATGAAAATAGTTAGTACCGTCCTTATTTATATAAGAGTATGAAACTAGAAACTAGAATGTGTGTTCCTATATGAACACGATTACGAATCTTAACTAGACATGAATTAAATAAACAATATAGATTTTGTAGTACAATTTTGAATAACTCTTGCAACAAATTCTAGTTGATGTGATTTTTTTTTCTTTCATGCAGAGTTTACTACAGTTTCTGTTGTCAAAGTGACTATACCAATTGAAGAATTGGCTAAAGGGGCTGTTTGGCATGACGCAACTTCTGTTGACAAGGAGTTTGACAAAGACAAGAACATAATAGTAGATGTTCCTAATGAATTTAAGGCACAGGCAAAACAAACTGATGGTACATTTTTTTATCTGTTCTAATTTTAGAACTTAAATAATTTAGTCTTGCAACATATTCTAGTTTGTGTGATTCTTGTTTCTAAAATTTTTTTCATGCCTTGTTAACAGCAGTTCCTGTGAAGTTGACGAAATCGATTGATTTGAACACAATCGAAGAAGTTGCTGATAATTCTAATGGTGTTCAAGAAAAAAATGAAGTGCCCTTATTGGATGTTACATTAAATGAGGACATTTTAGTGTCAAATGATGATCTTGTTTTGTCTAACAATGCTGGTTGCATTATGGAAAACGTCGAATCTGGTGAAAATTTGCAAAGAAATGAATCTTGTGTAGCTGTGTGCAATGATACTAAGGAAGCAGATCTATTGTTTGGGACAGCTGAAAATATGTTTGATCTATTGTCTGATGACATGACGTCTGATTATATTCTTGAAAGGTACCATCATCTATTTTTTGATAATGATAATACTACTTTGGACTATGATAAAGATAGAGGATTCTATTTTTAGGGATGTACTTGTTGCCCTGCCTGGTGAGGTGACTGATGTCGAAGCATTGGAAGCAGATACTGTTGGCAAGCGCGTTATAGGAGTAGTTGCTGATGTGTTTAAGGATGATTCTGTGATGGAGAATGTTATTGAAGGAAATGAAGAGTCTTTGTTGAATGTTAATACAAATGATCAAGATAAAGAAATTTCGAAAGATGTAATGATTGTCTCACAGAATTCTAGTTTCATTGTTGGAAGTGTAGAGTCTGATGTCGCACCTGAGGTAAAGAAAGACACTGCTCCATTAGTCTCCGTGAACGTGATGTCCAATGAGAGGAGTATTAAGGAAGAAGAAAACAATGTCATGATCCATGATCAATCTACTGAGGCAGTTGAAGGAATGAATGATGCTGCTCAACTAGTCTCTGAATTACCAGATGTTTTATCCCCGCCATCATCAAATGAACTTCTAAAGGAAAATGCTGCATCTGCTGAAA